GGTCTCCAGTTTTGCCGAGCCAAGACTACTTGGCAAAACAGGGCAGTTGTGACAGCTTCACTTGACACAAGCAGTATATATACTGTATATATATATGGAGCTAATTAGAGTCCTGATGTAGTTAGTATACAATAATATAATGGGAATGAACAGTGCCGTAAACTATATCTGCTTCCATCTCCAAATATTACCGAGTCGTGGTATCTGTCGGCACCAGGAAAGAATAGGGGGGGTCGGTTTGGTCTAGCGATTGCTTGTACATTTGGGTAGCCCCTCTATTTATCGCCCAACAAACAGCCAAAGGCCATCTATGGTTGGTGCGGTCAAACATGCCTGTCTGCGACCGGGCTGAGGGCATAGCACTTGCAGTTAAAATCTCGAGCGCTGGCGGAATGGCATCCAAAACGGGCGGCACGTGCCTGTGGCGCCGTGCCGAGCGATCAGAGACCGACGGATTGAGGATTGAGAAGGCCAGTCTGCTTTCCCTGCATCATGGACGTGTGATGTGTATGTGGATAGGGAAACCTACAAAATCTATGACTTGGTTGGGGGGGTCTCCCTAGTCCAAGACTCCAAGACACCAAGCTACAGCTGCAAGAACCATGCCAAAACCCCCCTATCTTTCCACCGAACGTCGTGCTCCCCTCGTACCTCTGAGGCAGCCCTACGTCGCTCCAGCACCGATTGGCAGATCTGCCGTCGAAAGGGCCTGAAAGGTCCGAGGGGCGGCACGCCATCCGTCGGGTGCGTCTCCCGACGCATCCGGAAGGGCCTGACACCATGGCAGGGGTCGGACCCGACACCTTCGGCAGGGGTGACCCTCAAAACCCCTATGTATTGGAGGGCCCGGATTCTTTGGGTTAGATATATCACGTGTTTCTCTTTCCGGGTGAATATCTTGCTCTACAGGAGATGTTTCTCAAGGACCTCCGAAGACTTGACGACAAAGCATCGGCCAAAACCATGGCACCCATCAAAACCACAAAACGATCCGAAAAGCCCTGGAAGAAAACAAACAAGACCAGGTCTGCACTCATCAAAACAAACAAGACCAGGGGTCCGACCCATCAAAACCGCCCATCTGAAACCATGGCCAGGCCTCATGCTCGACCCGGCCTCTCCAGCCACCACATCTTCCCACCCTCCCCGGCCTCTCCAGGAGCCGGACAGCTCCAAAGGACGCTAAGGATTGACCCAAATGCTCCAAGTGATTCTTTTGCTTCTCCTGTGCTACCGGTGCTACGGCCACGGGCCGTCAATAAAGGATTCAACCAAAGGGCTTGAGTTGCTTTTGGTGCTCAACATGTGCTTCTCCTGTGAAGATCCATCTGAGTCATTCCAGCTGTTATTTTTATTTTTGGCGTTTTGCTCTCAGTATGTGGGGAGGATCCAAACCGATCCCGATCTTTTTTTCCGGGGATTTGGCAAGGAGGTTTTGGTGACATATCCCCTTTTGAACCGTTTCCTCGAGGCAATCTGTCCAACAAAGGCCAGATCGAGATGTCATCCTCAATGTCATCCAACCCAACCATCAAAACGAATCAATGCCTGAATGCACAATGCGGATCAATGCCACCCTTTAGGCATTTCACGGCACTTCTGATGAGATCTGAGTGCCAACACCCTCAACCACAGTTTCCAAATAACACAATGTCAAAAACGTGTCACACGGTGATGATCGCGGGTGGAACTGTGTCGCCTTCTTCTCCAGGTCACTGATGATCTTTTCTGCGAGCTCACGCGCCTGGACAGACTGGAACGGTCCGTCGTCGTTGTCGCGTGAACGGACGAAGTGGGACCAGGTGGAAACAGGACCATTCTCTTGATACTATGGAGTCATGGATGATACTATGGATGATCATGGATGTCTTTGGATTGCACGGGCACAGAATTCGGTCACTCTTACCATCTTTGGTCTACCAAACAGGATCCTTGGTAACTCTCTGACACCAAAAGATTCACCGGGGCCCCGTCCTCCAAGAGGAGTCCAAACTCCACCTTGTTGTCGAAATTCTCCTGGAGCTCATGACAGTCGAGCAGCTTGACTCACTTGAGCTAGGAAGATGCATGGTCTCTAAGCCGCTTTGGATGTGCGAACACCACCTCACGGCCTCTTTCGAAGACCGAAGTGCAGCAAACGTCTGGAATCGTGCCAATCTCCTCCGGCGGCCGACTCTTGTCCGCGTTCATCTCTTCTGCAGCTTCCTTTTTGGCCTGTTTGAAGATTCTGTACCAACCAGTGCGAGTGGTCAGACGGTCATGCGCCAACATGCTCAAACATGCCCTTCTAAACACAACGTAAGCATTTGGCGCAACCTATGACGGTGGTGCACGGAGGTTCGTCGCAAAGAAAGATCCAAAGCGCAGGCTCGTTGGGCTGCCAAAAAGGCAGCGATGAGACCGAACACACCCATTCGAAGCACGTCCAAGAGATGATTTTGCCTTTGTTGACTGGCAGTGGCCAGCAAACAAAACAGTGGAGCCTCTCGTCACTGCACTGTTCGGACATAGGCAACATCTACTGTCGCTTAGCTCCCAAGCTGTTTCCGGGCACCCGGCAGAAGCAGATCTGCTCTTTCTGCAGGCCATTTTAACAGTGTCCATCCTGCCTTGGCCCTGATGATTTCTTTCATCTTTTGACACCTGTGCACCTGGCGTCACGTCATCCAGCCCCCGATTCGCCCAAAAACCGGAGCCAGCTACCGACCCAATTGGTGGGCCTAAGTGATGCCGGGCCGACCGCAGGGGCCTCGTGTTTGCCGCAATAGAAGCCCGAGCAAAACTTGCACCTGGGACCCAGGTGCAGGGGACATGGGTTGCCATCGGGTTGCCATGGGGTTGCCATGGAAAAAGGAGAGAAACGTATCACGTGGATGTTGTGGGATGCAAACCAAGTGAACAAACCCAGCCATGAGTGCATCTTGAGTGCTGGCACTCCACTACTCTCCACTCGCATCATCTGGGTGTGTGTGGTGCCAAAAAAGGGTGAGATGTACCAAGCTAGGGACCCCCCAGTGTTAACTAAACGCTTTCGAGTCTTCAACTTTAAATTTACGGTGCTTGGGGGCTTGACACGAGGCAATCTTTCGTCTGCCATGAGGATCTTCAACATGACCTTGAAAGCAATTCTCTTGGCCTTCAAGGCCAAATTGTAGCGTCTACCAAAGTGCATCATCTGCGTGGCAACATAAACCCAACTCTATTTCCGCCTTGATGTCTGTAACCTGCCGAAGTGCTGCAGGTAAAGTTCTCATGGTCATGCGAAAGGTGCTGATGTGACCCATACGTGCGCATACTGCCATCCATATTGGCTTGGGCACCCCTATCAAGGGCTGCTCCTCATACCCTCAAAGGATTCTCCTCCAAGCTTTTTTCTGAAAGTGTGTCTCACAACTGACAAAAATGGATCTTTCGAAACATGTCACTTGTCAGTTTGTATAAGACCTTGCATTGTACGAGGCGGTTCTTCCTCCGTTAGAAATGATCAAAACTGTCCTGAAGCAGGGTTGCTTGTCGATTGCCAATTTTCCGATGTACCTTTCGCGGTTTCAAGATTGGTGAGCAACACTCTTTCATCCTTCCTGCCAGAACATGCCAGAACTACTTTTTGTTTTCAAAGCATCTAGTACTGTAGATGATCCTCATGCAATCATTCTGCCCATCTGATGCCTGCGTGCCGAATTGGCACCATCCGCCGCCTGGGTGTCCCGACTTGTCGAGATTTCGCAACTTGTCCAACTTTTGCCCGCAGCCCTCGTGGTGACACCGAAAGCGATCCAAGATCTGCTGCACCTCCGCGTCGTCTTGTGTCTCGATGGAAGCTTGGGCAGTTACCGGCATGTTCCTCCAAATGAAACTCATTGGTAGAACAAGTAGAAAGCAAGAATCCTGAACATGTTGTTTGTGTAGATTAATAACTTATATTATACAGTTAATTTTATATCATTCTATCTGAGTCTTTTATGTTTCTGAGAGCAAAGCTCTCGTGTGACCGAATTTAATCAGCACCATCCGCCAAATATGCCCATGACATGGTTTTAGTCGAAACATGCGAAACTCATGGGACTTCACCTAAAATATCCCCAAACATCCCCAAACAGGATGGCTGAAGACAATCTCCACTCCTTTAAAAAATACAGTCCGGCATGTCCGTTGGATGTCCCATGTCCGGTGATGGACCGTGACCATACCAGTGACGCCGAACGAACTGAGCTTCCGGGCCCCGAAGCTGCCTTGGTGTCGCTCCCACGACACATGTCCGCAGACGGGCGAGGACCGTGCGTGGAGCGACCGGGCGAGGGGTGGTCTTCACCATGTGAAGAGGGTGTGAAAGGTTGGAGGAAGAAGAGTCTGACCGAATCACAAAGGATCTGATGGGAAACGAGTCCTTGTGAGTCCTTGCTCTTGCGACCGGAATCAAGCCGGAGCCAGGCTAGCCTGATGTTTCTTCGCGCCTTCCTGGCTTTGCTCACTCAGGACTCAGGACTCAGGATCCCCACTTTTCAGCTTTGTCAGGGCGTCGTTCAAGGCCCCTGCGAGGCAAAACCAACCTCTTCCCTTTGCTTTTGTCTGACAGAAAAATCAGCGTTCTGTGACAGTCTGAAAAGAGCTCCTGCAACGACCGACTGAGAAGGAACACGACCGTTGGCATTGTCAGGTTGAAGTGGCTGCCATCAGAGGCGGCGGGCATCCAATCGTGTCCACGTCACGCCTTTGTAATACAGCGTCTTGGCCTGCGAGAGCAAGTGAAGCCGATGCCTTAGGAGAATCATGGGAGCTCACAACATGTGTGTCTCATGAACATCTGTTTCTTGTACCTCACAACATTGCTGTGCATGGTCCATGAAGACATCTGCATTTTTTTGATGACTCCCAGACCAGAAGACCGTATTCGTCGCTGCGGCTCGGGTTGGAAGCCTTTGCATCCTTCAGCCTGGCGGAAAAGACCTGTGCATCCTTCACTCGTAGCCGCCTCGGACGGACGCGCTACGCTCACACACTCAGATTTGCACGGGCTCTCCTCCTGGAATCCCTCTGGCAGGTGGCTCATGTAGAAGCCCGTGCGCCAGGAAAAACATGAGGTACATCAAGGCTGCATTGAAGATAGGACCACCCACCCACAGGAGAAGAACTATGGCAGTGACAAAGGACAGCAGGAGCCATCTCTGCATGGGTGACAAGACGACTCCGCCAATCTTGGGCGCCCAATCTGGATCTTCATTCTTCTTCAAGAACAGGACCTCAGACGGACCAACATCGGAAAAACAAACCTAGAAAGTACGCAAAACACAACAAAACACCATATTGTTCCTTCTTTCTTTCTCATTCTAAGAACAGGACCCAGGTGATCACTGTGACCATGAGGCACATCAGTGCAGAGGGCTGCGTCAAGATCGAGAGGACCAACTCTGCCACGAACAAAATGGCATAGTTGGTCTGAAAGTGGAAGACATTCGCCGACAACCGGGAGCAACCCTCATTGGCCGAGGGCATTGACAGCGGCCACACAAAGTCTCGCCAGGGCTGAGCCATGGAGAGAAAATTGCTGGCCTTGTCCTTGACAGCTCCTAGAGATGATGGCGGCCCTTCTCCGGAACCGAGGCTAGCTTTCAAGATGCCTTGCAGCCCAGCGAGACGACTACCTAGAAGACCAGCTAGCACCGCTGCACGAAAGCCGGAAGTCTCGTCCCCCCTTCTGCGTGTTTGGCTCCGAAGTTGGCTCCTCGTTCCCGAAGGACATGGTCTGTGGCTGCAGGTTGACTGTATTGGTCGTGCCATTGAAGAAGCCTTCCAACTCGGCATCAAACTTCATGTCATCCAAGAATTGATCCGCCATCCTTTTGTCCAAAGAGGACGGAGTATAGAATTGTATATTGCCTTCTCTTGAGCCAGTTTCCAGGAGACATTTCGAAATGAATTCGTCATGGCAACGAAAGCAACAGAGTGGTAAATAGGTTTGCAAAAGAACATTCTGAACAAACCAGCACATACCGGCGCACATGCCAGTCCTCCCTCAAAATCACCAGTTTGATCTATATACACCTCTGCGCAAGCAGAATCTGCCTGTGAGTCGAACAGAGTTGAACTGGGTGCCAGGCACACGATACTTAGGATATTTGTGACCTTCGTAGTTCGTGCCAATGTCCTGGCAAACGTTGTCGCGCAGAACAACGTAGAACTCTGCGAAAAGGCGCAGAACAGCGCGAGTCACAACCAAAATGCTGAACAGCGAATTCAGGAAACGCTTTGAGAACTTGGTGTTCATGAGCAAGCAAAACGGTCCAGCCTTGAGGAAGTCATCGATATCAGTCATCTCAGCAGTAAAGAGGAGTGAGATTCATTGACATGAGAAGACCATTCCCTGCTACCTCCCCCCAAGGACCCCTGTTGTGCTAGACCCATTTCCATGATCTTCGGGAGGGTATGGCATTGGGTTCTTGAGTAGTGAATTGCCTTTTGGCAAGGAGAACATGAGACCGCAGTGAAGCCAAGCTATTGCTGCACGCGATTGCACTCAACTTCGACGTCGAAGTTTCATTTGCCGCCGGACGGCCCTCTCAGCCGATTCGAACTTCTTTGGGGCGAACGGAAACTTGAAACAACTGCCGCCAGTGAAGGACTTGGAAGTTTGGCTTGTTTCACTCAACTTGCTGGGCCTTCTGACTATGTCCGGATCCATACCCTTGTATTTAAAGCGCTCCACGTCAAGGACATGCTTCGGGACATTTGCGGCCTTGGCGCACTGCGCCGCGTATGCCCGCAGGCCGGAAAGGTTGAAAAGGAAGAGTCTGGAGCGATACCTTTTCATTGGCCTACCCTGGGGATCTTGAGGAATAGCAACCAAGTAAGGGAACACATGAGAACAAGCTATAGTTCTATTATGTTCTATCCGCGCCGCAGCCATGTAAACTGAAGTGAATTCATCCGCCCTTATCTTTGCATCCAGTCGCATTCCTTGGTCGCGGTATCCCCTCACACTTTGATGTCCCTTTCGAAACGATCCCAAAAGCAACACTACAAGCGAAGAAGAGGGGACCAAAGGAGAAACTGAAGAAAAGGGGAACCGGCGCAAGAATCTAACCCATGGAAAAAGATATCACTATTCCGTTGTTCCGTTTCTTGATATGAGTTCAGAAAGGTCATCTTAATGAACAGGAATTAACTTCAAACTTGACGAAAAGACCTTTGCAAGAGTTTGCAGCAGTCTCAGGGCTCGGAATTGTGGAGGAGACATAAGAATCATAAGACTTACATGAACATTGAGGACCAGAAAGTACCTTTGGTGGTTTAAACTTCAACCCATACCTCTGGAGCAAAGCATATGTGCTCACCTAAACAAGGCAAACACACAAGCGCAAACCATGTCCTTCAGTGAGCGCAAAGGCAAAGCCAAGGCTCCCGCTGCCTGTGGGTGGAAGGTGCACTCGCGAGCATCCTCCCCCTGGCGAATATCAGGGATGCCAAGGAGTGCATCGTTGATCGTCAAACTGTGCAATTGGACACAATTGATGTTTGTTTCTCTGCCAGGGCATAGCAAACTTTCGCCTCCAATCTCTGTGTTTGCAGGGGTTCAATAGCTTGAGCAAATCAACACCAGGCTTGGCAATGTTTGAAGTCTTTGCAATCCTTTGCATTTACAGTATATAGATATTGGAGAAAGCAGGGGCTCCAACCCGGGGGTCATGTTTGAAGCCTTGCTACCCACTCCAATCAAACCAACTGCGCCTTGGCAAAGATCCTCTGGCGTAAGGCCATGGCTTCATCCGTGTGCAGGACGTGAAACTCCTGAGGAGTTTAGGGCAATATGAGACACCGACCTGCCTGGTGTGGAAGGTGAAAGAAAATACAGGGTGAGCCCTGCTTTGGATGAGGAACATCTGGGGATGTTGGCAAATTGACCCAGCTTTTGTTCTTCTTCAAGACACCCGACCATGACCAATGAACCAAATCATTGGTGCAAGTGCTTCTTCAAGGAAGCGTGAACTATCCTGCGTCCTACCTAGAAGCTAACTTAGCCTAGTAGCTTACCTCCTTACTTAATTAAGTAGGCGCCAGTAAGGAGGGGAGCGGGCTAAACAAAAGGGGAAGGGACTGGACTGACCAATGACTCTGTTTGGACTACAACGGCACTAAGTGTTGGGTCTGACAACTGTGGTGTCCCAAGGCCATGCACTAAGTGTCCTTCTTGTCCTTCACAGCCATTTTCAGCAATGCCTGCAAGAACGGCAAAGCCGAGCTATTGATTGTAGATATGACGATATAGTTGGCAATCGATTTCTCAGTCAGGCTGGTGGTTTTTCAATGTTGGAAGTGTTGCTGATTACACCGCATGACTCTAGAGTCACCGTTTCAAAAGGGAAGCCAGTGCGAGCCTACATCAAACAAATTCATCGACAAGTCAGTGGATTCTTCGAAGCTGGTCACCAGGCCCAGGATCACCCAGTCGCCCCTCCCCCGATTTCTGCAGCACCCGGAGGTCGTCCCCCTTGAAGTCATGGCTTTTCTGCAAACGTCTGACCTCACATCAGAGCGGGAACTGTCAAGCACTTGGACAAAGGAAGTGTCCAAAAACGTTTTGAAAGTTTGAAAGAGGCTTTTCGTCATTATGAAACATGTGAAACGATAAATTGAATTGCTGGTGCAAGCAGGCAGCAAAACCAAAATTGAAAAAACTTGAGAGAGCATTGGATACAACAATTTCATCTTTACTTGTTGCACCCCATACCTATATTCATATACGGTACTACAAACCTTTAAATGCTTTAGGGTTTGACCTGCAAGCTGTGCTCCACTCGTTCCATTCTGTATGCGTTTGGGCCACCACACCAGATCCATGTTGATGACCATGTTGAAGCTTTGGCCGTGCACGGCTGTAGACCAAAACCTTCAGCGGAACCGATTGACTCTCATAGCCCAAGCGCTCAGTATCGGCCGACCACTCCACATGCTTGTCCACATGCTTGCCGCCGGACCGACAACCCAAAAACGCGAACCGACGACGAAACAAGTTTCAGACCATGACCAGAAAACGACCCTACCCTGCCAAACCCTCCACTCAACGCATCAAGCAAACACTTTTCAAAGTTTCCTGGCCGATAGAGTCAAAACGTGTGAGAGTTCACAAGTTCAGTGCTTTATTGGATGTCCTGTTTTCTTGGCTTGCTGCAGGTTGAAAGCTTTATGAGTAGGAGCGGGTAGGATGCTGTTTTTTGCAGGGGTTCTTTCAGTTCTTTCACCTTGTAAGAAGCGAGAGAGCAGGATGATCTCTCACTTTTGCCATTCCAAACAACAGCTGCATCATGCCGGGAATGTGGTACTAGAAAGCGCCACTGGACCTTGGAGTTCGTGCTTTGCGGAAACTTGGCCTGGTGGCCAGGAAGAGTACTGGCTGAGAGTGCTTCGGCATGTCAACCACACGATCATCTGCACTGGCATGGCGCGCGCAATCCATCAAGCAAACAGTGCCTGTCAGTTCACCTGCCGTTTGTGCGGCGTCCAGGCCCTGATTCTTGCAAGAACAGGAACCCCGTCTCAAAGCTCTTGAGCTTGCGAACTGTACGCAGCAGACTTCTTGAGCGGAGTCCGCCTGAACAGCAAGCTGGTGGCTGGTCCTGTGGGACCTTCCAGCATTGTTGGACTGCTAGCAGGCCGGGATTCTCCGCAATTTGGGTTGATTGGTGCCGAGATCTTTTCACTTGACAACTGTCTGGATGAGCTGAGTAGGACTGTGACCAAATGTCTCTCAAAGGTCGTGGCAGTAGGGTCTTGAACCCACTGGCAGGCATCTTGAGCGAAACAACTGCAAAAGGTTGAGATTGAGACTCGAGACCTGCTTTGCTCACTCCCTCTGGCTGAAACATCTACTCGACTGCAGCAATTAAGACCCTTCTTGGTCGTAGTCAAGTCCTAGGATGACACTAGTCTCGTCATCCAATCGCCCCCAAAAAACATCGCCTTGCTCGAAACTGGCCTGGGCACCGCGGAAATGCTGTGGGCCTTCTTCGCTTTCCTGCCGAGGGGTGCTGGACAGGCCGCGCAATAGGCTGCAATGAAGACATAGGTGGGCTCACTTGTGAGTCGGCAAAGAATTGCAAACATGTATTGACTCATGCTTGAACGTCACAGCATTCACAAGAAAACAATATTGAGAATACAGACTGAGGGTCTCAACAGAATGTGATTCAACATCTGCACCATTGAACTCCTTAGCATGCCTCTTGGCTTTCCCTGCGCCTCTATATTCAGTCACTTGATAGTTGCATCCATCACCCCTGAACAGTAAACACCATTGAAAATAGCATATACTATATAAACCATTATAAAGCTTACCTTCACTGGGGATGGACCTAGGTCCTTAGGATCAGGCCTAGGTCCTAGGTCCAGTTTCTGACACCAAACCACTCTCTTCGCCGCACAAAACGACCTCTCGAGCTTCCGGAAGATTTCCAGGAAACGCTGCCGGAACAACGGCGGAGCCAAGCGCCACACCTCGACGAAAAGGTGCGGCTTTTCACCCGCGCGTTTTTTCCATCTCAGGTGCTCTCCGAGTGAGCTCAGAAACCGGAAACATCAACAGGAAGACTTCTGGCAGTGTCTCTTTGGGCGCAGACTTTCCAAAAAGAAAAGCCGGATCTTCCTTTTTTGTGCGGGGTTCGGGTTCGGCCCAGTCCAGGTCCCGCCTTCACGACGCCCACACAAAGGGACAAGGCCTACCGGGGGCGACGCGGCGAAGGTGTCCGGACACGGGCCAAGCGCAGTGATTGTGCACCGCACCTTGAAGGATGGTACCAACACTGTTTGGC